TATATATATATATATATTTATAAATAATATTATCTGTTGGCACTTATACTTTACAAAAATTGAATGATGCACTTAATTGAGTACTGGTTATTTACCCAAAAAAATAAAGATTAATTCCTACCTAATATTTTTTTTAATAGTGCAATCATATTTTAAAAATCCTAAATTCACATGGACCCGTCCTATTGAAAGACTGGTCAATAATCAGAGGAGTACAGTGTAGCAAGAATAATTGAACTCCAATTAAGTTGAATAATAATAACAATTTTAAAATGGAATAGGTAGGGAACTCCATTTCTAGACAATAGGCCAACTTACTCGAATTGTCTTATTCGGAAGAGATGTACTCAGTGTGAATATTATATTACACGTTGTCGCGTTTCATAAAACACGTTGTTTTTATGCTCTATAACAATAAGAAGTATAATAAATGAACATTTCTACCGTTACATATTCCTTATATATAGCATATTGAGCCTTGGGAAATTTACTATACAGTGTAAAAAAGCGCTAACTTCACTGCAGAGACATGAAGAGCAGCAGGATCAGAGTTCTGTTTGAATCCCTCATATCATGTGGAAAACCTGCCAAAGGTAAGAGTTGAAAGACCATAATCTTGTTTTTATGGATTTTATTATGAAAATTATTACTGCTTTTTTTTCCTTCTTTCCTTGAGTCGAGGGTCTATCGGAAGTAGTTTTTTTATTTTCACAATGTAGGAATACGGTTTGCGTACACTCTACCTCCAGGTCTTAGAGACGGATCTAGAATATTTATAACATGGGTGCATCACTAAAAAAAAGGAGAAAAAAAATTATTAAGTGAGAATTGATTCATGCTCCTTTAGGTAAAAATTTATGCATTCAACCAAGAATACCATTTAGCCTCTTTAGAATATGAGTGTCATCAGATAATATTAAATCAATTCTAGCAAATATGTACATAAATATCTAGTTTGTCAAAGAGACCATGGGTTCACGTGCCCCATAAAATAGGCTATAAATATGCCTCTCCAAACTGACTAATAGGATTACACTAGATTTGTTATTGTTGTTATTGATTTATCAGTGATGATGATTCACACACCAACCAAAGGCAGCGGTAGTTGATTTATTAGTGATGATTATACATAAAATGTTGAATCCCCTTAACGCGAGGAAAAAAAGGTTCAAAGGTTGATTTTAGTCACAAATTTAAATCTCAACTATGACATTCTAGTATTTTCTTTAAATCTCCTTATATAAATCTTGGTTCCGCACTGTATATCCTAACTTGTTATCGTTGTATTGTGAACTGATTTGGGTATATATTACTTCAGTATTGTCTGAACCAGAAAATGAGAATGGCCAAAGACCAGTAGTGGAAATAGAGGAATCAGAAATTACACAAGCCCAAGAAGTAGTGGTAGTAATAGATGATCCAGGAAATGCTGCACGAGGACAAGAGCAGGTGGTGAAAGATCATGAACCGGAAAATGCACAAGGCCAGAAAATGGTAGCAAAACATGAACCAAAAAACGCAAAACAACTACAGCATAAGTTTGTGAAAGATCATGAACCAGAAAAAGGAGGGGTGTATGTAATGGAATATAGAAAACTTATAATTACACATCGAAAAATAGCAATACATGCACGACGATCAGAACCTCCACCCAAACGAAAATATCGTGGTCCTCAGACTGGTTGAACTAATATAATCTCGGAAATTCCTTTTTTTATGCTTTATTTCGTATTTGGTCATCCTTCTATTCTCAATTTAAATTCTAGCTTATCAATATGAGATGGGTAGATTAATGACTTTGTGTAAGTAATTTTTAATTTCTTTCATATGTTGTCAATAATGGAAATGGTAACAGTTTTTCTGCAATCAGCATTGCGGCATGTGGGAAAAAACATGAAGAATTAACCCAAATAGCCGTTCAGCCAATCGCTTAAACTAAAAATAGCTAGAGGTATAATATATGCATAAGTTATATATTATATGTGTATAATTACGTATGATCAATATATAAACGATGTATATGACTAGAAAAAGCAAACAATGAATAAGACCGGCTATTTATATAAAAATCCCAAAAAAAACATTAATCTTGTTAGTCCTATCCGTCTTAATCCAATCCATTTTGACTGAAGCAAATTTTGAATAGGATGAGCCATTCATTTCTAAGCATATTACATTAAAAACTAGGCAAATAAAATAGGGTCAACAACACATAAAATTAGCACACATGCACGAAGCACATGTGGGTAGTTTAATATTTATTATTTCAAAATGATAAAAATCAAATAAAACATTCTAGCCGAAGGTTACTATTTTTAACTATTATTTTTTTCTTGATAACTTCTTTTTTACCCTTGTATAGTAAGCTAATAGCAGCGAGTAAACATTATCNATGTTCACATGAATTAGATCTAATTAATTAATTAACGAACAATTTTAAAAGAAAAAATCAAGTAGGTAGAGAACTCCATTTCCAGTCAATAATCCAACGTATTACAAATGTCTTATTCGAAAGAGATGTATTCATGTGAATATTTTAGTACTACCGTGCTGTGACGTTGCCTAGGATTCTCCAGATTATTAATTTACAAAGCCACATGGTTCTTAACAGCTTAGTTTGGATTATTATTACATATTGTATTATATCGTATTGTTACTTTAAATACTAATATATTTTTTTATTTAAATTTTATTGTATTGTATCGTTAAATTCATCATTACATAAAATATTCCACTTCATATAACGATCAATTTAGTGTGGTCGCATAGTTACCTTGTCTTTTCTCTCATCTTATTAAATAATTTTGTATACGGGTAAAACCAGAGGTAACCTATACGGGGTCAAACGAAACAAAGGAATGATTATATGATGTCGGAATCAAAGCTGGAACGCCTCGTACTAAGGTCTGAACGGAGTGGTCGCCCCCGGGCTTGATAAGACATTACTTCTCCGATCCCGAAACGAGCTCCGAGACCCCGGAAGCCACGATAACGGTTACCCATGACGAACAGAGCGCCGCGATATCCGCACCCCATCGGATATCATGGCGCAGATCTCGGCCCGTATCCATAGCGGATTAGTGAACAACGAAAAGGAAAACTTATTACCTTTCTTAGAATTGTAATAGGGGTGAAACTCTCTTATTATATAAAGGGGGTAGTCTTTATTGAATGGACACATTGTAATAAGCATATCAAAGCAATACAATTTCATTTTAACTGCTTTCTAACTATAGCCAAATTGTTGTTTTACCTTCCGTCGTTCATTCTCTATTGGCTCCGAACCGAGGGTCCGATCGAGGGTAAAACTATTGTCCAACCCAAGTTCCAACTAGGCCATATCGTTACAATTTGATTTGATTATTCGTTTTATCTTCCATTCAATTATCTAACATCCTCAATTACTTGTATTGAATCAATCCACATATCCTTAAAACCGCGTATAAATTTAATTGTTATCCATTTTAAGGGTAAACAATTTGGCGCACACCGTGAGGCTAAGTATAATAGTGGTGGTTCGATACAAATCTCCATAACACATTCTATTTTACACTTGTTCTTTAAGGTCTCAATTTCAGGTCAGCTTAAAAATGTCAAATTTTAATTCCGCTCACTTGAACGTTGAGGATGGGTTTGGCCATCATGGAGAAAACAACAATCTGATGCCTAGAAATGAGGTGCCCTTGCGATCCCAATAGGGTCCCAGTCGTAGACCCAGTTGATGCTAACTCACATGTGGCCATCGACGCCAGCCTTCCTACCGACCCCAAAAATAGTGTTCGCGGAGGAGCCCGACCAATAGCTCAAAGAGCACCCGAAGGCGAATGTGACAGGGTCAGTCTACGATTGATCTTCGAAATGCTGCAGGCTCAGCAGGCGGCGATAGCGCAACTGCAAAACCAAAATCTCGCCCCTAACAAAGTTGAGCCCGAACCGCCCAAGGAAAATACTCAAAGAAATTAGCAGAACACTAAAAGGCAGGGCAAAGCTGAGTCCGGTGTCAGTCATGAAGTAATGAAAATGTTAGAGGCATTAATGAAACGAGTGGAATCTAGTAAAAATAAAATCGCGGGACACGACAAGAAGGTAGAGACATATAATTCTCGTGTTGATCAAATCCCAGGAGCACCTAAAATATTGAAGAGCCTGGACTCCAAGAAATTTGTCCAAAAGCCTTTCCCTCCGAGCGCGACACCAAAACCAATCCCGAAGAAGTTTTGTATGCCGATATTCCAAAAATATAATGGAACCGTGGATCCAAATGAGCATGTGACCTCCTATACATGCGCTATCAAAGGCAACGACTTGGAAGACGATGAAGAGTCAATGCTATTAAAGAAGTTTAGGGAAACTTTGTCAAACGGAGCGATGATATAGTACCACAACTTACCCCCAAATTCCATTGATTCATTTGCTATGCTTGTAGATGCTTTTGTGAAGGCTCATGCCGGGGTCATCAAGGTCGAGACTAGAAAATCGGACCTTCTCAAGGTTAAGCGAAGGGACAACGAGATACTCAGGGAGTTTGTGTCGAGGTTTCAAATGGAACGGATAGACCTACCTCCGGTTGCGGATGATTGGGCTGTTCAAGCATTTGCTCAGGGACTTAACGCCCAAAGCTCCTTCACTTTGCATCAACTGAAACAAAACTTGGTCGAAACCCGGTGGTAACTTGGGCCAACGTCCACAACAACTACCAGTCAAAAATTTGAGTCGAGGATGACCAATTCGGAGCCCCTTCCAGGTCCGTTTATCCCATCAGAACCGTTGACAGGCATAAGAGAATCGGCAATCATGAATCAAGGATGGTTCGAGATCGATATCAACCACACAGTGCAAATCGAAGGGGAAATGTGTCTGTCGCAACTCTACAAGAAACCAAAAGAGAAGTAATTGAGAGCCCAACAACCGAGGCCTGATGAGCAAAAGTGGCTTCAACAGGCTGCACGTGGGATGGGAAGTTCCAAGATTGTCAGAGTATAACTTCAACTTTGACGCAGCAAGCATCATATCGGCTATTGGACGCATCGAGGAAACCAAGTGGCCTCAAGCATTGCAATTTGACCCTACCCAGAGAGATCCTAACCTAATGTGTAATCATCATAGAACTCATGGACACAAGACTGAGGACTACCGATAACTGGGGGAAGAAGTTTCACGATCGTTTAATAACGGGCATCTCTGGGAATTCCTGAGTGATCGAGTCAAAAAACACTTCAGAAACAATGACTCCAACAAACAGGATGACCAAGAAGACCTTCAATACATCATCAACATGATCATTAGAGGGGTCAATGTCCCTCAAAGGCCTATGATAAAACTCACAAAAGTATCGATCATGAGGGAGAAGCGCACCCGAGATTATATCACGGAGGGAGCCATTTCGTTCAGCGACGAGGATGCCGAGGGCATCATGCAGCCTCATAATAGTGCACTGGTAATATACGTAATTATAACCAAATCATGAGTTAAGCCTGTGTTGATTAATCCAGGTAGCTCGACCAACATCATCAGATCGAGGGTCGTAGAAATGTTGGGACTACAAGATCAAGTAGTGTTGGCGGTCCGTATGTTGCACGAATTTAACATGGCTTGCAAAAATACTAAAGGAGAAATAACTTAGCTAGTAAATTACTGCCGGGACGATTCAGCATACCAAATTCTACATGATCGTAGGGGACATGAGGTGTAACGCCTTATTCGGAAGGCCTTGGGTTCACAATATGAGGGCATTACCCTCGACGTTACACTAGGTACTAAAGTTCCCAGACCTGGAGGAATCAAGACGGTTTACGAAGAGCAGTTGGCCGCAAAAGAAATGTTCGTAGTTGACAAGGTGATCTCGGTGCCCATGCTCTTGATATCAAAGAACACGGAGCTGACTAGGAAGGAAGAAACTAAATAGCAATCACCAATATTAGCCCGGACTGAACCAGAAGAGCGAGGAGCAGGCGAGGATGATGATTATGGAGTCCCTAGGTCGTTTATCGCTCCTAATGATTCTGATACCACCAAATCAATGGTCGAGGAGCTGGAGCAAGTTATATTGATCGAACACTTGCCTGATCGAAAGGTATACCTTGGGACGGGGTTTACTCCCGAGCTCAGGAAAAAACTCATTGAATTCCTTATAGCTAACATAGATTGTTTCGCTTGGTCCCATCTTGATATAACAGGGATCCCGTCAGAGGTGACCACTCATAAGCTGAGTTTGGATCCGAAGTTCCATCCGGTTACACAGAAAAGGAGACCACAGTCCAAGGTCAAGCGCACCTTCATCAAGGAAGATGTATCTAAACTCCTTAAAATAGGATCCATTCGGGAAGTTAAGTACTCGGACTGGCTAGCTAACGTAGCGGTAGTACCTAAAAAAGGAAATAAGCTAAGAATGTGTGTAGATTACAAAGACTTGAACAAGGCATGCCCTAAGGATTCTTTTCCTTTGCCTAAAATCGATCGGATGATCGATGCGACGGCCAGACACGAGCTGCTCAGCTTTCACGATGCCTATTCTAGGTACAACCAAATTCGGATGGACCTGGGCGATCAAAAAAAGACTTCCTTTATCACTAAATTCGGAACCTACTGTTATAATTTAATGCCATTCTGATTAAAGAACGCTGGTGCCGTCTATGCCTAGTAAATCGGATGTTCGAAGAACATATAGGAAATTCAATATAAGTTTATATTAACGAAGTGTTATTTAAGTCCCTACGAGTAGAGGACCATTTGAAACATTTACAGGAAACCTTCTACATATTGAAAAAATACAATATGAAGCTGAATCCAGAGAAGTGCACATTCAAGGAA